AAAACTTTAATAACTTTAAAAAGATATTATATTCCTAAAAAAATAACTCAAAAATATAACTTCAGTAAATCTGGCAGAGTGCAGAAATTGTAAATACAAAAACAAAAAATTGCCAAGTGCGGTAGCACATACCTGTAATCCCAGCAACTTGGGAGGCTGAGGCTGGAGTTCAAAGCCAGCCTCAGCAACTTCGTGAGGCCCTAAGCAATTTGGCAAGACCTTGACTCAAAATTAAAAAATTAAAAAATTTTTTTTAAAAAGGGCTGGGGATGTGGCTCAGTGGTTAAGCGCCACTGGGTTCAATCCCCAGTACCAAGAAAAAAAAATACATAAAAAAATCAACAAAGGAATTAAAATACAAAGTTGACTATATTCATATACTTGACACATTGAACAAAGATTTATTGACTGCATACTACTTTCCAGAGATGGTTTTAGTAAGTCAGAAAATTATCATGTCCTGGAAAACAAGCAAAGAAAATATATCAAGAAGGAGATGTGATACACTGCACCAAATGCTGTTATTAAATATCACTAAAACTAGAACACTTCTCAAAGTAAAAAGGGGAGCTATTAATTGTGCAAATAAACAAAACAAAACAAAAAACAGGCATACACCAGAACAGTTCTAGGACAATTATGATAAATGGTATTATTATTATTTGACCAAAATGAAGACTGGGAATTGATCTCTGGCTTTAGCAACATGGATCTCAGTGCTGACCTTCACTGGAGTGATGGCAGCAAAGTTTCACTGGGATAGGTTTGAGAGAGATGGGAAGAGAAATTGGCACAAGGCAGTAGAGACAATTCTTTTTTTTTAAGAAAGAGTGAGATGGAGGGAGAGAGTAGGAGAGAGAGAATTTTAATATTTATTTTTCAGTATCTGGCGGACACAACATCTTAGTTTGTATGTGGTGCTGAGGATCGAACTCGGGCCGCACGCATGCTAGGCGAGTGCGCTACTGCTTGAGCCACATCCCCAGCCCAGAGACAATTCTTTTAAATAGCTTTGATGCAAAGAACAGAGGTGGGGAGATAAATGGCAGAAAAGGAATCAACACTTTGCTTTTTTAAAAGATGAGAAAAATTATGGCATATTTCAATTCTGATAGTTAATTATCTAGAAAAACAAGTCAGATATCCTACATACTCATAATTTTCTATGATGTGTGTTTGTTTTTGTTTTAATAGAGGAAGCCGAAGACTCAGGAAGCTGAAGATTCCAAGAAACCTAATAAACTCAAATTCAAAATGTAAAAACTCTTCCTAATAAAGAAAAGACCCATTGATGTTTTTGCTACCAGAGTAGCAGCAGGAGAAAACCACCATGGACACAGATAAGAAGAAAGCAAATTTCACCTAGCTAGTACATTAAAACAGAAAGACACACAGCAAAATAAATGGCACAGGTTGGAAAGACAAAATTAAAGCTATTTGCAAATGACATAATTTGTAGAAAATCTAAGAAATCTACAAAAGTAGCTAGAAGAATTAAAAACAAGATCATGGATTATAAAACTAGTATATGAAAATAAGGCATACTAATTCTACATATGATTAATCAATAACTTAAAAGTGAAATTTTAAAAAATTCCCTTTTCAATGCAACCAGAAACATCAAATCATTAGAAACAAATCCAAAGATGTACAAGGCCTCTATACTAAAAATCATAAAATACTGCTAAGACAAATTAAAGATGGCTTAACTAAGTGAAAGGATTTAATATGTTTGTGGATTTATAACTCAATATTACCAAGCAGTTCATTTTGGCAAAATGAAGATATATTAATGCAATCTCAATTTAAAACTCAAACACGATTACTTTTTGGTTTAAATATATAAGCTGATTATAAAATTTCTATGGAAATGCAAGCAAACTAGAAGAACCAAAATAAACTTGAAAAAAAAGAATGAATTTACATGATTGTGAGAGTTATTAACCTATAGGAATCAAGATAGAGATGTTAACAAAAGGACAAATACATCAAACAGAATAATGTACAGAAATACATTCATATCACCAATAATTCAATGCAGAAAAAAAGCATATTTTTAACAAATGATGCTAGAAGAACTGAATCTCTACATTGAGGAAAAATAAAAATATGACCACCTATATCATACTATACATAAAAATCATAGATCTCAAAGGAAAAACATATTATAAAACTTCTATTAGAAAACATAGAAGAATATTCTTATGACCTTAGAGAAGATATAGGAAGCTCCAAATATACAACAAAAATTGGAAAAATTGTATTCATCTAAACAAAAAAACTATTGAATCAAAAAACACCATTAAGAAAATGCCCTGCCAAGCTGCAGACTAGAAAAAAATATATGCAACATGTACACAGGATCAAGAATATATTTAATTAAAAAAATACATTTCACAAAAGATTATAAAAATAGCCAATAATTATAATATACTCAACATTGATAGTCACGAGAGCTTTAAAAACAAAAGCAAAAACAAAAACTCCACAATATGGTATCACTACAAACAGTACAATAGCAGCGACTCTCAATGGAAGAGTGAGGTTGGCCATTTTGACACTCAAAAGAGATATTTTTCATTGTTTGGCATCTGGGATGCTGCTATACGTTTTATAATATTTGTTATATTTTATATAACAAATAATTATACTGGTAAAATTTTAAATGGTGTCAAAATTGACAAATCTCAATAGATGAAAGAGATTAATAGCATCAAATGCTGATGAACATGTAGAGCAACTGAAACTATGATACACTGCTAACATGCACATAAAGTGTTCATTCACTTTGGTGTCTGACAGATACGACTCCATTAAATGCAGATGGTTTCTCATTACCCTATTAAAGGCTAACAGGGCCTAGAAGGACCTGCATGATCTATCCTGGTCAACTTCACCTTATATTCCCAATTAACAGAAGTAAAAGGATAATTTAATATCAGGAAATTTTTCACTAAAACCTACTTGATTTTGCTGATAGAAACCTTAAAATTTCTGAAGAAGATGGTTTATGGTCATTTAGTCTGATTTACTACCTAAAGAAGTAATATTAGTACAATTCCTAATGGTGAAACATCTATCAGTCACAATAAACATGAATAGTTTGTGGAGAAAATACCAGAGACGTATCTGGTATAAATTAGAGAAATAACTAATGCTCTATAAATAATGGCTCTTAACTCTTGTAAACTCTGTTAACTGGAGATCATTGTAGATTTACTAACATTGGATTAAGATCATCAAATAGATTTAAAAATGAATATAAGAGTTCAGAAAGATTCTATATATTTATAAATACCACAATTCATTTTTAAGAGGATGAAGTCAACTGAAAATGTGCAAAAATGGCTTAAATCGGTACTTTCCAATAGAAATATAATCTGAGCTATAAATGCAATAACATATGCAGTGTTATTAAAATAGTAAAAGCAGGTGAAAGAAATTTAATACATGCAAAAATTATGGATATCTTATGCATATACTCTATAAAATAGCCTGTATATCCAAAATAGTATCATTTCAACATATTAACAGTATAAAATTAAATCTTTGAAATTCAATATGCATTTTATACTTATAGTACACTTCAATTTGTACTACCCGTATTTCAAGTGCTCAATATCAACATGTGGCTAGTGGTTACTGGAAGTTAGTTTATTATACAACAACACTTCTATACATTTTATATGGATTATTATATCTACTCCTCTCTGAGGCACATACAGAAGAAAGTTGTCCAATAACTCAATCAACCTGACTCAGATCTCCAGTTCCACATCAAGTCAAGTGTTTTTTTGTTTTTGTTTTGCTATATTACTAAGACTTTCAATTGACGTAAATTAATATTTCAATTCCTATTGATACCATATATATTTAAAAACCTAAATTTCTAGTGACAATTATAACCTGTTGTTTTTGTCGCCCATGATTTATAATCTTAAAGAAAAGACTTACCATCAGTATGAGCTTTTGATACTTTTGTTTTAGGTCTGACACATCTGCAGACGGGTCTGCTCCCAGAATGCTGTACCAATCCTTTTTTGGTAACTGCTCAAATGCCATCATCCATTAAACAAGAAGTGGGTCTTCTCAGATCCGCTGAATAGAAATATCAATGACAATAATTCATTACAGTTTATATCTAAAATGAAGTACGGCCTTTCTAAGTTCTTTAATATCTCACTGAGGAATCATGATTGTAACGTAAACCTATGGAATCATGCATTTTTATTTAAAATGCCAAGAATTCCATGGATAAGGGTATACACAAAAATAGAAAACCTATTATATCTTTTAAATTAATGAATATACAGTAGCATAAAAATAGAAGTTGATACTGGATGTAGTTGGTGAATGAACTTCTAAGAAGGTAATCTGGTGGGTAAAATGGCATACAAGAACTTACTAAACACAGTTTAATAAATATTTACAAAATAAATAAACAGAAGAAATAAAGCAAAACAGAAAACTAAAAAACAAAAACAAAAATGAATTTGAGGGCATACCCTGATTTTTCCCGTTCACTTCTTTTCTTCCAGATTACATGGAAAGGAGATTGTGCGCAGTGAACATTAGCACTGGCAGGGAGACAGCAAGAGTCCCCTGTTATTGGAGAGACGCTCAAACCTCCCAAAAATCAGAAGAGCCCCTGAAGCTGCCCATTCAAGCTACAGAAACCACACTTACCAGGAGCCCCAGAAACCAAGCAACCTCTTTCCACGCTACAGACTTATTCAGACATTTGGGGCCTTCCCAAGATTAGAACTTGGGAATCCACTGTATTCACTGTCACTTCTACCGGCCCGGCCACTTGACGGGTACCCTCTCCCGGGCTTCAGATTTTATCAGACTTACCCAACTTCACACAGCCAAGGAGGCCCGCTCGCTGCCGGCTCTCGGCTGCCGGCTAGTACTAGGAACCAGCTTCTTTTTCCGCCGGAAGTCACTGCTCTAACGTGATCATGTTTCTAGTCGAGCCCTAGGTGCCAGGGCACCAGTAGGAAGCGCCGCTGTTCCCGCCCCGACGCGGTAGCTATGGTAACCAGTCACCAATTTCATGGAGTTGACTAGCTGTAAGTGTCCGCGCTGTAGTGAATTGAGTCCCTCGCCTCACTCTGGCTCTTTTTTTCCTGGTTCTTCGACGGTCGCTTCTCTCCTCCTCTTCAGCGAGCAACCCACCCCTCAGGCTATCCCCGCCTTCTCCGAAGCCTTTTCGCTCCCCTTCTTTTCTGTGTGTACTTGGCGCGGGTGGAGCTTATGAGAAGGATGAGGAGTTCTGATAAAATATGTTCAAGATAATTATTTCTTTTAGACTTTGGTCACCGACTTAAAAAAAAAAAGAACTTTTCCAAATCCTTTTTAATTTGCTATTTCACTCTGCTTTCACTTTAACCCAGTGAGACAAATAAAGAGGGTTTTACTATTAGGGCAAACAAACCAAAGACCAGGACCAAAATAGCTAATTGAGTAGCAGTCGAACCCTTACTTAGTCCACCTATTCTCAGGCCGCTTTGCTACCTTTTAAGCCTTTCGAAAAAAATAAAATGGTCTCCTCCCCTTTCAATCAGTTAAGGGGCACTCCAAATGGGCGCTGTTGGGCTTGTCCTAGCTAGTTCCCCCCACCCTTCCTTTTCTCTTTCTTCCCTTCCCTTATTCCCTTTTATTAACTCTTCTCTTCGCTTATTTTACATTGATCTCTCTTCCTGGCATTGTGCCAAGAGGTGTAAATTTATCTTAGTTTTTTGGCTTGTGACATACAATTTTACCTGGAAATGTTAAGATGGTTTTGCTGTTGCTGCTGTTTAGATTTATTTTCCTTTTTTTTTTTTTAATCTTTCTTCCACCCAATCTTGCTTTAAGAAGCATTAAAGATAAAATTATGTAGAATAAGTAAAATATTCTAATATGATCTATTATTTAATGATGGTAAGAACTATAAAAAGTGATACAGGCAACTTTAAAAAATCTAAAGATAAAAGTATTGGTTCTCCATAGGATTTTCACATATTTAAGGTAGACACAAAGAAAATTATACTGATAGAGGGTCTAGTTTTAGTCCTGGCTCCAGCATACCTTCTATTTAGCCCTACAAAAATACCTAAAGCAACAAAATTAAGTGAATACTTTCTAATGCAATACTGTCAGAATAATTCTTGAATTTCCCTAGCCCTTAAACAACCCACTTTGCACTTCTTGGCCCTTCTTTGTATAAAGAGATATGTTTAAGTACTTCAGTTTGAACAGAAAAGTGCTTTATCTTAATGTACTATTCTTGTTAGGTTATTGTGTTCTCTCTTTTATTCTATTTATTTATTTGGGTTTGAAAAATAGGAAATGTGTACTATTCAACTAATATTATTATATTTCTTTGGTATCAGTATTTGGACCTTACTTACATTTCCCTTGTTGTTTCAAAAATGTCTTTTATGGTTAGTTTCCTTGAAACAGGATACAAAGTGCACACATTATATTTGGTTATTACATTTCTGAAACATCTTTTAACCTATAGTAGGCCCACTTCTTTGCTAAAATCTTGCTTTTCTTCTTTTCTTGTGATTTAGCTTATTGAAAAACCAGATAATTTGTCTTATAAGTCTATTATATTAGAATAAACTTCTTAAAACAATTAATGTCCACCAGAAATTAATACCTACTCATTAATCTTCCTTTGTGTGTCATTTTCTGGAACAGCCCAGTCCAATATGAATACAATGGAAGCCACAAAAGTACAAGCTACATAATGTGACTTTAAATATTATATTTAACCCAGTATATACAGAATATTATCACTTTAAAATGTAATCAATATAAAAATTATTAATGAGGGCTGGGATTGTGGCTCAGTGTTGGAGCACTTGTCTAACATGCATGAGGCACTGAGTTTAATTCTTAGCATCACATATAAATAAATAATAGGTCCATCAACAACTAAAAAATATTTTTTAAAAGTTATTAATGTGATGTTTTACATTCTTTTTTCCTCCTATGTCCTAAAACGTTGGTATGTATTTTGCCCACACAGCACAGCTCAGTTTGGACTAGCCACATTTCATGTGATCAGTAGCCACACTTGACTAGTGGCTGCAATATTGAAAAGGGTAGATCTAGAGAATAAAATGTTCTTTAACTGGAATTCATTTACCTTTTCAATATGGTCCTTAATTTTCTAGCCTCATCACCATTTACCTTCCTTAATGAAAAATTTGAACAGTTGATCTTTTCAGGGTGCTTCATCCATTACTTATAAAACCAACTTTTCTTCCTCCTATTAATTTTATCCCTCATATAAGGCCTGTATTTTCTATCAAATCTTTTATGATGGCCCAGTACTTAGAAATTACTTTCTCTCAACTTTCATAGCAAATTCTGTGTATGCTTATTTGCATTCATCCTATGGCACAGTGTATTGTTTTCTTTTGATGTTTGTTCTGGTTCCCCAGTTGGGTTGCAAGCTTTTTGAGGACAAGAACATTTCATTTGAGACACTGGATATCTTCATTCTATGCATTTCTAAAGACATATGTCTCTAATAGATTTGTTTTTCTTTTTTTCAGAAGGCAATTTATCCATTTTTTGGAAACAGATATAGCAGAAATATAAAATATGTTACTTAGTGGTTAAGAGTATGAACTCTGGAATCAGGCTACATAAGTACATAGTTCAGGCTCTGGCTCTTATGCCTAAGAGAACTTTTTAAAGCTAATCTCTGTGCTTTGTTTTCTTATTCAGTAAAGATTATTAGTAATAGTCTTCCTGATAGATTTGTTTGAGAATCATCTGAGATAATTGTGCCTGTAAGTAGAAAGTATCTAGTGAAGTTTGGCTGCTCTGATTATTTATGAAATATTTATCACTCAGTTTTGATATGCTATTAAACATTTCTAGAAGTATTTTAGAAATTTACAAACATAGCAAATGAAAACCAAAAACAATTGAATTAGAAAAATAAAAATAAAAGCCAAATATTTGTTGAACTATGTTCTGCAGTTTGCAGAATAAGTTAAAAGTATGGGCAAAGTCTTCTAAATTTGTGTCATCAGCATCCAATGTAAGAAAGATAGCTATAAATTAAATATTGTATTCCAAGATCATTGATCAAGTACTATAGATATATATACCAATATACAGAAATAGATAAATGAGAGGTTCAAGGCCCTTGGTTGTAATGATAGTAAGAAATTACATTGTTGTTCAGTTTATTACTTAAGTACTAGTCTATCCATAACTAATGTCCACCAGACATTAGTAAATTCTTATTTTGAGATCTTACTAGTAAGCTATGATTTCCATTGATGGGTAATAATTACAATATGTAGGGTTGTATGAGTCAGCTATCTGTCATTATAATGAAATACATTGTAAAGATTAAAATTTTATGTTAGCTCAATTTTAGAGATGTCAATCTAAAATCAGAAAGACATAATTGCTTTGGGCCTCTGGTGAGGGTGCCAACTAGCAATGGTAAACAGTGTACGGAAGAGCAAACTGCTTACCTCATGGTCAGGAAGCAAAAAGGAAGGGGGAAGAGTCCAGGGTCCCACAATCTCCTCTTAGGGTACACCTACAGTAATCTTGATTGCCTTCCACTAGGCCCATCTCCCAAAGTTTCCATCAAATAACACCATCCTGGGGTTAAATAACACATAGTCCTTTAAGAGACAACAATTCAAACCAAAGCAGCAGTGTACTTGTGTTAATTATTTTCTCTGACCATTTGTATTTACTTGACCCTTGCTAGTGGTTTCATCACCAACTCTTTCTTAATTTCCTTGATATCTATTTCTGAATTTTCAGGATTATCGTGTCAGTGAACTAAGCTAAATTACTTCTTAACTACTAAAGGGTTTTATGGTTATGTTCTGAAATTAGATGATACATGTACAGCAACTTAGAATCTTTTGGGAAGTTACAAAAACCACCAAGAAGTAGATAGTGATGAGATCTTTAAAAAATAATGAAATAATACATATTTAGCTTCCACTTACTTATTCACTGAACCAACAAGTATTTGAGTGTCTATTGTATACCGCACACAAGAGATACTAGACAGAATTGGTTTCATCTCTTTCAAAAACTTATGGTTTATCTGGGTGACAGATATTTAAACAAGGAGATGAAATAAATGTAAATGCTATGTGAGAGGAAGTCAAAATGCTATGATATTAATAACTTACAGGTACACAAACAGAATAAATATATTGATTGAATGATTGAAATTATTTGGGGGTACTTGGAATTTAACTCAGGGCCACTCAACCACTGAGCCACATCCCCAGCCCTATTTTGTATCTGATTTAGAGAAAGGATCTCACAGAGTTGCTTAGTTCCTCACTTTTGCTAAGGCTGGCTTTGAACTGGAGATTCTCCCTGCTTCAGCCTCCCGAGCCACTGGGATTATAAGTATGCACCACTGCACCTGACAAATGATTGAAATTCTTGACTCACAATTAATCCAGGAACATGGATGGAAGCATTAAGTTTTAAACAGCTTTGAAGGAAGGGATAAATGGATAGCTAGAATTAGGAAAACTTTTTTCTTCTTTTGGTAGATTATAATAAAGCTTATTATAATCTATTATAAAGCTTTATTTCCAATAAAGTATTGGGAATCAGCTCTAATAAATAATCATGTAGTTTGGATATGAAATGTCCCCTAAAGGCCAATGTGTTGAAAGTTTGTTCTGTAGCTATGACACTACTAATAGGGAAGTGGTAGGAGTTTTAAGAGGTGAGGTATATTGGGAGGCAGTTAGGTACCCTTGAAGGGTATTTTGGGACAACTGGCACTTTGCTGCCCTTTTTATTTCCAGCTACCATGAGGTGAGCAACTTCTTCTATCCCATACTTCCTCTGCATTCTCTCTACCATGATGTACTGCCTTGCCTAGTTCCAAAGGAACAATTAACTGAAACCTCTAAAACCATGAGCCAAAATAAACCTTTCCTGCTATTAAGTTGATTGCCTTAGGTCTTTTGTTACAGTAATGGAAAACTGACTAGTACAACACTCCTACCTCACCTTTTAGAAATAGTTTTTGTTTTTGCATCTTTCACTTCTGTTGGCTTTCTTGATT